GGGGGCCTCCCTGATGGCACAAGGGGTTAAGCACAATACTGTGAGGCTATCTGCAGCCACTGCAGGGCTAGTTCAATCCCCAGGCCGGTCAGAGAGCTGCCCACATGGTGCATCAGACCTCTCCTGTCTCGTCCGCTGCTCCCCTCAGCAGTGTATTTTCAATAGATCTGCCTGTACTGTACCCCACTCTGACTCTGGTGAATCCTCTCGCCCTGCCCCCACCCCCTGACCTGTACCCCATCTCTTGTATGTATAAATAAATAAAGCTTTTTTTTTTAAAAAAAAGAAACCAAAAAAGGCTGACCCTCTAGGAAACTAGAATTTTATATAAGAGATGTGCTGGGCTGTAACCCCCTGAAGAGGGTTGGGGGTCTTGTCTTTAAGCTGTCTCCTCATAACAAGCATGCCAGGTTTGCTTAGACTCTACCATCACATGAGGTAGTTTGGGGGTGGGGGACTCGCTGAAGTTTCCCCAAATCACTTTTCGGTGCTACTCAATGACTACAAGTAAAAATCAGAGTGAACGCTCTTCTATGTGGTAGGAAGGTACCCCTTCTTACCTCCACAGGCAGAAATCACTTTCTCTGCTTGCGCAGAATCTGTACATTCCCCTCTTATGTTGGAGATCACACTGTCCGATGTGAGTCAGCCTCCTCGGTAGGCTGTAGCTGCCGGAGGGGAGGGTTTGTATATTATTCATCCTTTTATCACCAGCACACTGCCTGGGCACGAAGTAGGCCCTTAATAATGATTATTGAATGGGTGAGTAAGTATAGATGGTAATCATGATTCCGGAATCATCTTTCCCTTTCACATGGCCAGCCTCGGGGGAAGGCAGTTTATGAAGGGAACATGGGGGCAGTGCCACTGTTAGGGCCAGACACCTGAGCTTGGAAACCTGACTGCTGCCCACTGTCTTAGTGGAGACACAGTACAGTATGGTCACTGTGGGACATGCTGACGGAATACAGTTGCTTAACAGGGCAGCTTTGGACAAGGACCATGAAAGTTGTCTGCAGGGTTGGCTGTTTAGTACGTGAGGCCCAGTGTAGAATGAAAATGCAAGTTCCTTGTTTAAAATAAGAAAAAGTGACATCAATAGCCTCCAAATATAAGTTTGTTTCTTTTGTCCAGTATCTCTCATGGTGTTTATTTGCTCTTAATATTGTTCAAAGTAAAGAACGTTTTATTTTTTTAAAGATTTATTTTATTTATTTATACATACAGTAGCTGGGGTACAGGCCAGAGGGACGGGAGCAGGGAGTGAGAGGACTCACCAGAGACAGAGTGGGGAGCAGAACAGGGAGAATCTACTGAAATACACTGCTGAGGGGAGCAGCAGGTGAGGCAGGAGAGGTCTGCTGCGCAATATGGGTTAGTTCTCTGGCTGGGGATCAAACTTATGCTGCAGTGGCTGTGGACAGCTTCATAGTGCTGAGATTTAACCCTTTGCACCACCAGGGAGGCCCAAAGAACATTTTAAACATTAAAGTCTTACCTTGGATTTCACTGTTCATCTTTATATCTGCAATGTCAATTTTAATAGCATAACTCATGTGGAATCACCAAAATTACAGAACTTCTATTCCATAGTTTGTTCCTACACATGGATTTCCTTCATAGCAGAGCAGTAGAAACTGTACAAAACTAATGCTGCTGTTATTTTACTTCTTCATATGTAGACATTCTATTAGCACTATCTTCTGTTTTTGTTTTTGTTTTTTTTTTTTAACATTTATTTATTTATGTATACAAGCACTGGGTACAGTCAGAAGCGCGGGAGGGTGAGAGAATCCACCAGAGCCAGAGCGGGGAGCAGAGCAGGCAGAAGGACCGAATTTCACTGCTGAGGGGAGCAGCGGTCGGCAGGAGAGGTCTGCGCGCCATGTGGGACCCTCCTCTGGTGGCCGGGGAGCAGCCGGGGATCGAACCGGCGCCGCAGAGGCTGCGGGCAGCCTTGCAACCCAGCGCTCAACCTCTGCGCCACCGGGGAGGCCCTGGGAAACGTTTTTTTAATTACACTATATATATTTTTTTAAATCACAAATGTGATCCATGGCTACAAAGAGAACCACAGGCAGGGTAGGAATACTTACTTAGCTGGGGTAGGAAAGACTTCCCTGAGGAAGTGTCATTTAGGCTGAGGGTGAGTAGGAGTTGTAAGGTAAAAAGAAAGTGAAATAGTCTTCTAGAAAGAGGGACCAGCATATGTAAAACTTGGAGCTGGGACAGCTTTATTCACATAAGGAAAGAAAGAAGGCCGACCTAGACCCAGCACAAGAGACTCCAGGAGAGACCAGCAAGTGGCCTCGGGGTTTGTTTTGTGAGGTCCTTTTTCCTGACCTTCCTCCTTCCACTCCCCAACTGCCCTGCTCATCAAGAATATCAGAAGGCCTTTATTCTTTAGCAAGTCGAAGATATGGGGTGCTATGTGCTTCGTGTACTTTCATGGGATACCCACTATATTTACCATTTCACATTTCTATTCTAGTTTACCTCCTGTTTTAAAATGTGACCTCTCTTTCCTCTGACCTCGCATCAACCCTCTCTGCTTTTAGGACACTTAATGATCTGTTCTATATTGTCTTTTTTTATGTGCATGTCTTATTTGTAAGCCTTTTAAGGGCAGATTCTGTATCTGTTTTAGCTGTTAAATGGCCTCAAGAAAAAATCTTTGTCTCATGGGTAACTCAGTTAAATAAAAAGTTTATTTTTTTAATAGGTAGTACATTCATAAAATACCATGTTAGAAAGATCCAAGAGTATGCAATTCCCTCATCCCTCCCCAGCTTTTCTTTCCCTGAGGCAACTAGTTTTTTTATTGAATTTTTGCAGACAGCCCATGTTTATAGTAGATAGGCTATTATATATACTTATTACATGACTTTTATGCAAAGTCATAAAAATGCAAGAATAGATGAATGTCTGCATTCTCCTACTTCTTTTTTGCTGATCTTCTCCTTGTTCAAAATTATACATTGGCATAGGCTTCAATATACAGCCTACTCTTTAGTCAGAGAATTTTTTTTAAAGATTTACTTATTTATGGGCCTCCCTGGTGGCGCAAGGGGTTAAGCACCGCACTATGAAGCAATCCGCAGCCTCTGCAGCATGAGTTCGATCCCTGGCCGGCCAGGGAGAAACCCCATATGGCGAGGCAGACCTCTCCTGTCTCGCCCGCTGCTTCCCTCAGCAGTGTATTTCAGTCAGTCTGCCTGTTCTGTTCCCCGCTCTGTCTCTGGTGAATCCTCTCACACATACACACCCCCCATATCTCTGGCCTGTATCCCAGATCTTATATGCATAAATAAATAAATCTTTTTTAAAAAAAAGATTTATTTATGCATACAAGAGCTGGGGTGTAGGCCAGTGGTTGGGGGGTAGGGGGGGTTTGAGAAGATTCATCAGAAACAGAGTGGGGAGCAGAACAGTCAGATCTACTGAAATACACTGCTGAGGGGAGCAGCGGGCAAGGCAGGAGAGTTCTGCTATGCCATGTGGATTAGCACCCTGGCTGGGGATTGAACTCATGCCACAGTAGCTGGTGATAGCTTAATAGTACTGAGACTTTAACCCCTGTGCCACTAGGGAGGCCCCAGAAGAGATACTTATTTTTACATATGCTTTGAACTGTAATACTTTTTCAATAAAAATATATAAGAACAGGGCCTCCCTAGTGGCACAACGGGTTGAGCGCCACGCTGTGAAGCTGTCCGCAGCTTCTGCAGCGCGGGTTCAATTCCTGGCCGGCCAGGAAGATACCCACATGGCAGGGCAGACCTCTCCCGCCTTACCCGCGGCTCCTCTCAGCAGTGTCTTTGGTCCGTCTGCCTGTTCTGCTCCCTGCTGTCTCTGGTGAAGTCTCTCACCCTCCTGTGTCTCTGACTGTACCCCAGTTCTTGTATAAATAAATAAATCTTTAAAAATATATATATATATGAACATAGGCTTGGGATGTTTAAAATCTGGCTCCATTTTTTTTTAGCTGAGTGACCTTGGGAGGTTATTTAACCCTTTAATCCTCTGCTTCCTCATCTATAAAATAGGGGTAATAATGTTTTTTAATATTAAAATTAGATAATATATGAGAAATACCTAGTATAGTACCTGACCCCCAAGATAATGGCTTTTGATGCAAAGAACCCTAGACAGAAGTCACTTGGGAAGTAGTCCTAGACATGTTGTGTGACTCCCCCCGACCTCATGACCTCAGTACCTGGATTGACCACATAATCTCTAAAGCCCCCTACTCTGACTTTTCCTGTTCTTTTGAAACCTGTTTCTTGATAGAAGTTCTAGCTCCCAAGCTGGGAAGATTTTGTAGGAAATTAGGAGTCTCTCAGGAGTGGATGCTTTGGGGCCTCCTAGTTCCTTATCAGACCATGAGATCAGAGCAGTGGATATGGAAAATGGGTAGTGGCTGTGTGTGCGGAATCTTCTCTCCTTTCCCATGTCAGAGTTGCAATTGAAAATAAAAATACAGTAAGTGTGGGAATAGAACTCTGGTGGAAAATTTTAATTTTCCTAGGCAAGGAGAGGCAGGATTGCTGACGAAATAGCCTCTTGGGTTTCAGAAGATAGGTGCCTTCTCTGGATGGCAGCAGGAGGCTTGGTGGGTGCTAAAGAGGGACATGCTGGCGACCCAGTTCTAGAAGCTACCGCATCTGACCAGTATTGCCTATCTGTGGTCCTGGGGTCCGGGCCATGCTATGGGACTGAAGGAAAGGACATGGGATCTATACTTGAGTCTGGGGTAAATGGGAAAAGCACCTCCAAAGACCAGTGACATGAGGTCAGGTGCTTAAGAAACCCAAAGGGAAGGCTTTTTCAGTACATCTGCCCTTCTCTCCATCTCCAACCCCACCAGGCCATACATTATCTTCTTAAGAGAGCTTGCGGGTCTCCTCACAGAACTCCTCAGACAAGAGAAGGCAGTCAGGTGGCGCTGAGAAATGTTGACAGAGTACACACATGTGGTCATGACTGTCTCTCTCCTGCAGGTGCTGAGGGATGTCCTCAAGGATCTCTACCACCTGCTGAAGCATGTGGTGCGTTTGGAGCCTGATGCCGTGGCCAAGCTCCATGCCCAGCTGGCCCTGGAAGAACTAGATGAGATCATGAGAAACTTCCTGTTCCCTCCACAGAAGCTTGAGAAAAAGATTGTGGTCCTGCCATAGACAGGACTCACAGGACCTACAGGAGGTGGAGCTGGACCAAGCAGCTAAAGCAGTGCCCATGCCTTCCAGCAGGTGGCCCCCCTAAGTCTTTGGTGCTGGCATTATGGCTGACCCTGGAGGTGGCTTCATCTCTGGCCTTTCATGTCATTAAGTTAACCTTCCTAAATCATCGCTTTAGCATCCTGCATCCAGCCCAAAGCATGTGCCGTTAAGGAAAAAAATGACATCTCATTAATTAATCTGCACGTTCTTCACGTCCTGCAGCCTTGAACGAAGGACGTTTACCTAGTAGAAGTATATTTTTAATACAACTGATGCAATATGATTAATTGTTCATTCTCTTGCAACTTGAGAAGAGATTGGCCACCCATATGTTACATAGCTTAATATTCTTTGGTGGTGAGATACTTCTTCCTGTGATTAATGACGAACAGCCAGAACTAGTCATCCTTGGCTGTTCAAGAGGCATTTCAGAGTATGAAGATGCAGTTGGCAGTAGGAATGGTAAGGAAATTGTTATCAAAACGTGCAGAGTGGAATAAAATTATCTTGGCTGGAACGAATCACAGGTCTGACCCTGGCGCCCTGAATTTGACATGGAAAGCTATGGCGTGGAAGAGGCTTAGATCTCCAGAAAAGAGAATCAAACTGGTAGAATCTTCGAGAAAAGGGTAAGCCCTATGTTCATCCTCCTGGGTCTTTTTCTTTTGCTCCTTCTGCATCTGTTTGCAGAGAGTTACCCTGTTTATTGGAAGAAAAGAGCCATAAGCATCTCAGATAGGAGTTTCTCTCTTGCACTCAGCCCTCTACTCATCTGGAAAGGTGGATGATTGCTCATGGGCTACTCCTACATTTGCTGCAAAGCATGCTGTAGGCCCATGGGCCATGCCTGGTTACAGAAGTCATTTCAGATGCAGCATGGTGGATCCCTCTTTGTTTACTTATATATTTATTTGCCACTGGATTTTGTTTGCAGTTGAAAGAAAACATCAAAAGGAGAAACTCACTGCCTGGGTCAGACCAGTCCACCTTGGTTGACAATACCTTGACCAGGCTGCCCCAGAGCTCCTTGGTCAGTCCTCAGCTTTGGGGGCTAAGTACAGAATTGATGAGAGAAGTGTATCTCCACTATGCAGGGTGACCAGGCCCAGGGGGACCAAAACATAGTTTCCTCAGTCTCTTCAGTAACTGAAGGATCTATACACAAGCCTGCCCATTTACCACTTAGCAAGACATTTCTCTCATCAGAATGCTGACACAGTTTTATTTTAGAATTTTGTGGTGGGCATCCCTTTAAAAGAGCCAGTGTACATACAGTTATGGCTCATAAGGTAGCCTAGGGAGCAAAGAATTAGAACAAAAGCAGATGTCTTTAAGGAATGTTTCCATTCAGCCAAGGTAGCTGAATTCCTCAAAGCAAGGATGTCTAGAAAATCAGGGTTGAGGCTTTCCAATCAGAGAAGAATATCCTTTGGACCAACTGGATATAAGTGAAATATTCTTGTTTCTTGACCTTTCTTTAAAAGACTCTGTACAACCCACTTCAGATAATCCGATTAAAATTATTGGATGATTGATTTAACTTACAATTCTATTTGCATTAAATGCATCCCTGTTTTCAGGGCAGATCTTAATTGATCATCTTGAGTAGATTAAGAAATTTTCCATCTAGAAACCTGACTTCCTATGGGGTGTCCCACGGAGCATCCTAGACCCTGTGTCTCCATTTATAAATTGCTTCTTAATTTGAATTATTTGGCAAGTAGCTAAAAGCATCTATTCTTTATTGATTTTGATGGATTTGGTTTCAGAGAGTGACTTTTTCTGACCTTGTTACCAAATTCAAGGGGAAGATACATTACTCTAACCCTCCCTAACATGAGCAAAATATTAGTTTCCAAATTCTCAAATAGTTATATACATACACACATACACACAGATGCACACACACACACTTTTATCTTGGGAAAGAGCATGAGAACTGAGTTTTGTTATTGCAATAATAAAAACACAAAACTTAAAACAAACCAATAGGGGGGGGGCACAAAACTGCAGGGGCAAATAGTAGGAGCAATAGTGACATTTCCCTTCATGGCCTGGAAGGGGTGTCTGGTCCCAGGTAGCAGCACCATACTCTTCCCCCTACTGTCCCTTCCTGTTTCCTCACTTCAGTTCTGCCTCTGACATTCCCCTGACCTGTTGCCTTCAGCCCCTTCCATTGCCTACAGCCTGTCCCCCAAACTTCCCTGGATGACAAATGTGGTCTTTCCCTTGCCCCCTAACCCCTTCTCTCCCTACTCTCCCTCCCTGGTTTCCTCCTCCACTTACCAGGCCCACAGTCAGCTCCCACAGCCAACTGGGCATAGTGTGTGGTAAGAGACATGCAGTAGCCCACAGCTGGCTGCCGCCGGTCCCCAGGCTTCCTGCCCAAGTGACAGCTGCTTGTTCAGGTTAGACTTCCAGGACATTCTAAGAGGTTCCCTGTTGGCTGTGTTGTTGTTCCTCATTGGCACAAACTTACCTCCTTCAAAATCCCCTGCTGTTTAATCAGCAATCTCTTAACTTGCACTTTGTTCCTTATTGTCTCTCCGCACACATATTTTCCATATTCCCTAGCATTCTCCTCTTCACCCCTCTTCTCCCTTCCTGTCCTTTCCTGTAGAAGGGCTGACATGCCAGGCCTTGGGGGGCAGGGAAATAAATCACAGCAGACAACGGTGACAGCAATTTATTGAGCAGCTGCTATGTGCCAGATGCTATAGCAGGCCCCAAGAACACAGCAATAAGCAAAACAGGCAAACCCCTTGCATTGTAGTGGAGGGAAAATACCAGATGTTAGGAGTGTCAAATGGTGATAGATGCTACCGAGAAAAATAAAGCTGGGAAGGGGGCCCAGGTGCATATGGGTGGGAGCTGTCTGTTTAGACATGTTGTCTAAAGAAGGCCGCACTAGAAGTTGAGGAGAGCCCGTCTTTATTAGGGAGGGGACGGCAGCCTGTCAGGTCTGAGGAAAGCTGGGCGGCCAATGGGGAAGGACAGAGTGAGTGAAGACGAAGCAAAGAGGAGGAGGCAGGGAGGTGTTGTAGGTGGGGCAAGGGACCCCTGTGGGCCTTGTGGACCATTCTGCGCAAGAGGGAAGCCACAGACCTATTTCCACCGGAAGCTGCTTCAGCTTGTCATTGGAAAGTGCTTGGAGGCCCCAGTGAGATGTGCTGTGAAATAGGAAATAACGTTTCAGTAAAAGGAGTTTCAGATCCAGCTGCAGTTTTGGCCTATCAGAATGAAGCTGTGAGCCCCAGTCCTTTCGCCACCGTCTTCTCTGTAGCGGCCGCGTCTCCTCAGTGGCCTCAGAAAAGAGAGGAAAGCAAATGTGTTGATCTGCCCTCAGTCCACCCCCTGCTCCATCCCTTTGTCTGTGAGAGGCTGAGCAAAGGAGTGTGGCCTGCCGCCTGCCTGTGACTCTTGCCAGCAGTTTGCTTCATTGCAGGGTGGCTAAGCCATCTGAAAGTTGGGGGATGACGTCCCTGACCTGTACAGAGCCGACCGGCTGCTGCAGTCTTTCTGCACAGAAACCCAGATCTCAGCTGGCAAGGGAGAGGGTCAGAAACAATGGAGGTGAGTTCCAGGGTAGCTGGTGAGAGGTGGTGTCATTCTTCCTAATCTCAGGGGTCTCCTTCCCTGCCCCCTGGACAGCAGCAAATGTGACCGCTGCGGGCCTGGCTGTGTCCTCCAGCCATTGCTGCAGTCCCAGACACTGCAGTCACATGCAGCAGCTCGCTGCGGTGCCAGCGCTCCTGACTTCATGCACTTCTCTGCTGGGATCCGAGTCCGCTTGGGGGCTGGGCAGCTGCCTTAGAATACCTGCAGCTGCACCCCTCCCTGCTGCGGGGCTCAGGGCTGTGCCAGTGAGGAGGAAAGGCAAGATCCTCATCTTCAGTCCTGGCGGGGGCTGCACCCAATTATTTGAAGGGTCCTCCTCTGTTGTCCGCCCCACAATTCTTCATGCTGATTCAGTAGCTCTTTGGTATTCCTCCCTCCCTTGAAGGGCCTCCTCTCCCGCCCTGGTTTCCCCGTGAGGCTGAGGCTAGTAAGATCAGTTTCTTACTATGGAGAGTTGTTTTTCATCCATCAGCTTACCTAATTCTCACAATATCAGGAAATGGGGAGGGAAGCTATTGTTCCCCCTTTGGTGGGATTCGTCCCTGTTTCCTGAGTCCCAACCAAATTGAGGGGCTCATTTATAGACATGAACCTTGGCATGCAAGTCCCCTAAAGTAGTGGTGTGATCTCCCCCGACCCATGCTGAGGGGTACCCATCAAAACCCCGCACTGACATCTGCCCTTTCTGAGAGTGCAGAGGCCTGGCAACACCCTTGGGTGTGGGTGTGTTCTGATGACAAAGAAAGAAAAATCCCCACAGCTCACCTCCACTCCTACCCCAGGATTTACTGCTGACAGACTTGTGTAGGTCCTTTGGTTGGTTCTTTTCTTTCACTCTTTTCCCAGAAAAGTACCAACATGCATTACAACTTTCAAAAACAAAAATGGGATAATTACCATAAATAGCATCCCATAGGTATTTTTTTTCCTGAGTCATCTACCTTGGAGACACTCTCCACCAGCACCGACAGGCCCCTCTCCTTCGCAGGGTTGTGTGGGTGAGCTGCAATTGGGTGAAGCATTTCTCTCTTGATGGCCAACTGAGTTGCTGCTAATTTCCAAGGTCTTTTCAGTTCAGATTTTTAAATAAAATTCTGCATACTGCAGTGTCTGTAGGACAAGTCCTACAAGTTGCAACGCTGGATCAAAAAGCTTTGAACATTTTTTTTCTTTTCTTTTTTTTAATATTTTTTTTTAAAAAGATTTATTTATTTATGCATACAAGAGCTGGGGTACAGGCCAGAGGTGTGGGGGGTGGGAAGATTCACCAGAGACAGAGTGGGGAACAGAACAGGCAGATCGACTGAAATGCACTGCTGAGGGGAGCAGCAGGTAGAGTCAGGAGAGGTCTGCTGCGCCATGTAGGTTGCTCGCTGGCCGGCCAGGGGATCGAATTCATGCTACAGTGGCTGCAGATAGGTTCATAGGTTGTGTCTTAACCCCTTGCGCCACCAGGGAGGCCCTGAACGTTTTTGTTTTTGTTTTCTATGTTAATACCCAAAAGGTTGTCATGCTGTGCATTCCCCCATCTGGGCTGATGCTGTGGTCATTTCTGTGACAGGTCCAGTGTCCACATCACAATGTTGACTAGTCTCTAACTAAGCCTGGGGACCCTACAGGCACTGGAGTTTTCTGCTCACCAGACTACCCATAGGGGCACAATAATACATCTTGCAAGTATGCTCACCAGCAACTATATCCCAGCTACCATCTACATTAACTCGTAGTTAATGACTTACAAGTACTAGTTAGTAGCTTACTAGTACACATCCTGTAGCTGGCCCCTGCAGGTCTATTAGTAAGCTCTGAGATTCTGTCCCCAGTGTCAGTGAGTGCCTTCCCATGGGGTTTGGAGTATCCTCAAGATAATGCCATGATCCCCAAACCAGACTCAGGACACAAGATCTGACGGCCCCTCAAAGTATGAGGTTCACCCCATAAACTTGGGATGAATGATTGCTGTGGCTCTGTATCACCAAACATAATAATCAGTTAACACGGTAAAGACCTTATTATGCTCTGCTATGCACTTGACATATCAATCCACTCAATCCTCATACTGGACCTGTGAGGTACGTGTTATTATTATCCCCATTTTACAGATGGGAAAACTGAGGCACACAAGAGGCTAATTACTTGCCCCAGATTACTAGCCAGTGAGAAGTAGCCCAACCAGTATTTGGACCCAGGCAGTCTGGCTCCAAACACTGGACTTTTATAGCCACTGTGCTTTGCTGCTTCCCAGTTGCTACTGTATTTCCAAATAGTTTTTAAAAGAGAGAGAGAACTATTAACGTCAGTGTGATCAAAACAGTGGTTCCCTGCTTATTCAAATGCATAGCCTATGTCAAATTAAACTTCAGCCCCGATTCCCCTCAAATGGTGTCCTTGTATATCAAAACCCAGCCTATAATCCCAGGTCTTGTTTGACCTCTTGTGTTTGACCTTGTGGCTTGTCCAGCAGCTGCAGGTGAGACTCCCTAAAGTTCCCCGGCCCTCCTGCGCCTGTACTCTTGACAGCTTGTGTAAGTTGCTAGTGGGAAACCTTGTTCTTCTCCATGGGAGAGGCCAAGGTAAGGGGACCCTGAGGCTTCAGAGGAGGCAGAGGGGGCTGTGCAACTTAAAATATGTAGCAAGTCTTCGCGAACTCCAGCCAGAGCCCAGAAATGTCACCTTTGAGGATTTGTTGCTGTTTGGTTTGGTTCTTTACCCTCCTGTCTCCTGAAAGCAGGGGTTCAGTTCTCAAATTTCATTTTCACAGTGGTAACAGTGGATCATTTTAAGCTTCTATTCCTTGTATGTATATTTCTTACATGCATGCCTTTTTTTTTTTTTTTTAAGATTTATTTATTTATACAAGCACTGGGTACAGTCAGAAATGCGGGAGGGTGAGAGAATTCACCAGAGCCAGAGCGGAGAGCAGAACAGGCAGAGTGACCAAGTACACTGCTGAGGGGAGCAGTGGGCAGCAGGAGAGGTCTGCACCCCATGTGGGACCCTCACCCGGCGGCCGGGATCAAACCAGCACTGCAGAGGGTGGGCAGTTTCGCAACCCAGAGCTCAACCGCTGTGCCACCGGGGAGGCCCCATGCATGCCTTTTTTTAAAAAAAGATTTATTTTATTTATTTATGTATAGAGGAACTGGGGTTTCGGCCAGAGGTACGGGGGTGGGGGTGGAAGTGAGAGGATTCACCAGAGACAGAGTGGGGAACAGAACAGGCGGATCTACTGAAACACACTGCTGAGGGGAGCAGTGGGTGAGGCAGGAGAGATCTGCTGTGCCATGTGGGTCACCTCCCTGGACTGGGATTGAACTCAGGGTAATGACTGCAGCGGTGAGAGCCTGAGACTTAACCCCTAGGCCACCAGGGAGGACCCTCCCCACTTGCACGTATGCCTTAATAGCTTGTCCTTACCACTCCTTGAGAGGACAGAGAGGAACTAATGGCTCTGTTTTTTAGCAGGCAACATAAGGTCCAGAGAGGTAAGTTCTTGCAGATGGGAAGAGGAGGAGAGGGGAGACAGCAGTGCCTGGAGCAGAGAAACTTGCCCCTCATTCACCAGTTCTCAGCATGAGGCAGGTAGCCGGCCCCACCAACTTCTCAGAGATGCTAATGGTGGAAGGCAAGAGTTGCTGCTCCAGGGCCTGTGGCTTCCAAGCCGCCTGAGCACCCGCTCTGCTGGGAAACTAGGAAAAGCTACTGGGCCTTTAAGTGCCTTATTAAATGATGTAAGATTTAATCTTCACTTTCTGCCTTCAGAGTAGAGGCCGCTCAGAGCAGTGCCTGGGTGGGGCCTTTCTGATGTTCAGCCCTTGTCAGCACCTCACATGCATAGGTAGCGTGGCGCTGGGGAGAAGAACAAAGTCGCCTGCTCTGCTCTTCCGGAGTCTCTAGAAATGGAACCAGCCCCCTCCTGCCCGCCTCCCCCGACTCACACACACAACACACATCTTTATTAGACCACACACCACTTTCAAAACTTCAAACCTATGGTGACTGTATTAATCCTAGGGAAGGGCCAGCCTGAAAATAGGCTGGGCTGATGCCTCAAAGAGTTGGGGGTGGGGTGAGTCCCTCTCACTCCCCAAGGCAACTGTCAGGATCAGTGTTATTCAGAGACTGCAAAGAAAAAGGCTCCAGCGTAGGCCATGTGGAGCCATTTCTCTGTGGCTGGGGTCAAGGCCAGGTGAGAGAGAGAGTTACAGACCCACTCTCCTCACCCATGTGGGTAGGAAAAGCCTCTGAAGTGCAGAAGTTCTGTCATTTAGAAAATGAAAGCCAATCCAAGTCATTTTTTGGCAGCTCTGTCCTCCCACTGAAAAATGAGGGCTGGCTGGTTTTCCCCCCTCCTCTTGCAAAAAGCAGACAGCACCTTTGCCAAGGAAGATCATATCCAGTTCCAGGTAGACTGTGGCGATCTGGGGACCCACGGGCCCATCTGGTCCTGTCTTCTATGTTTCTCTTTGGCTCTCCCTGCTCAATTCCAGTTCAAATTAGCATCTTTTCCCTTCCTCTTCTAACCCGATAGCTTGTTGGTTCATTGTCAAGTTTTTTATTTATTTTTTGAAAGATTTATTTATTTACACATGCACTGGGTACAGTCAGAAGCACGGGAGGGTGAGAGAATTCACCAGAGCCAGAGCGGGGAGCAGAGCAGGCAAACCGATGAAGTGCACTGCTGAGGGGGAGCAGCGGGTGGCAGGGGAGATCTGCGCGCCATGTGGGACCCTCCTCCGGTGGCCGGGGAGCAGCCAGGGATCGAACTGGCGCTGCAGAGGCTGCGGGCAGCTTCGCAACCCA